AGATATCAGTAACCAAAGACTAATAAAAACTCAAAAAGTAAAAACCACAAGATTGTGACTTAGCATAGTATAAGAGTCACTAATGTACACTTAGATATTAGATTAGTTATCCAAAAATGACAATCTTAGTTAAATGCAAAGTATCTAGGGGTTGATAAAAGTGTAATACCGCATGCAGCAAATGTGGTGTGGTAGTGCTCCCGTTCTGACTGTTCTCATCTGCCTGAAGACGCTCAGCGAGCTTAGCATCTTCTAACTCCTGCTTCTTTCTTGCTTCTTCCATAATTAGTCTTTTCTTCTGTAATCATAAAAAAAACAATTTGCAGAATCAACTTACATTCAGTTTTTAGATTTCAACACTATCCACAATAATTTACAATAAACCATATGTCTATCATATGAATTTTTTGTAAATACCAGCTCATGTCTGCGACTCTGTCCGATTGGAATGAAATAAAACAAAGGTAAGTGCTTAATGTGTTCTTCCAGACTATCTTCTACCTCTATGTCAAATTTCAATTAAAACTATTAAGCAGTTTAGGCTACATACTCTAAGAAACATCCATGTAAACTTTCGCATTTATAATTTAAGATAAAATAAACAATATTTACCTCATTCTCCTTATATAGCTCATGTTCTCTAGTATACTGTTCAAGAAGTTTTTGTTTTAATTTCTCTGCTTTAGGCATCACTTCTTTTAATTTGAGTTGATTAACTGAGCGAACATCCACAGGGACAGTATTGTATTCTGGATGCTTTCTTATCTTTTCAAGAAATAATGTCATGAACTTCATATACAATATATAGGCATTTTCAAGGCTGCCCTCAGCCAAGTACACATTAGCCATCCTGACCATTTCTAAACCTGACCTGTAATACCTAAAAAATAAATATGTATGGATAAAACTTAATTACATTCATACCTATACACTACACATATTAAGTAAGATAGTTTGACTTGATGATTGTACCAGAGGTCCCGAAATCATCCTAAATCAAATTCGTTTTCAGACACTGATGTCCCTAACCTAACAAATCAATAAAGATATTGGATTTAAGAATTTTAACATGTTACCTTCTTGGTGGTACATTAGCGTCAACTTCAACCATAGTCCCGTAATGGGCTAACTGTTTTACTCTCACAGCTGGTTCTAATGAAGCCAAATCTGTTTGTCGTGATCTTTTATCAGACATAGCTATTGTTAATTGTATTAAAATATAGATTTATGAGAATATTAATAATCAATGAATCATTCGGTAAAGATATTACGAAATAATCCTGATTAATTTTATAGCTCTAAGCTGTGGCTACCTAAGGTAAATACCTTAAAAAAACCTTATAAAACAATACAAGTATTCAAAATTCTTGTATACAATTTACCATTTTTACTCCAATTGACATTGACATTAAATATTTTTGACAGACAGGTGACAGTTGAAAATGTTCTATTCTATGGCAAAGAGTAGAGTAACTATGCAAAGTGGAAAGAGGGCGTTACTATCGTCTCGTGCCCTACATTGCATTATACCTTTACAGTGCAACGTCTTGGTCTTAATACTCACAATTTCGAATATGGTGTTTATTTTTCTTACTTACTTTTATGTTAATCCATAAATGTTATCTGTTATTCAATGTCGCGACTTCCATCAGATATACCTCTTAATCAAAATTATCTGTACAAAGATGGTTGCCTATCTCTATCTTTTATGTTTAACCAAACGATAGGAAATGGAAATACACATTCAGGGTCTTTACTTCGAAAAAGTACAAAAGATAATAATAATATTTGCAAAAACGTACGTTTAAAAAAACGTCCTTCATTAATGTGATGGAATTAATCCGTGAGCATTTTACGGCAAAGTAACAAAAATGTCATTAAAAAAGTAGTATTTGATGAACCCCTCAGAATTTAAGTAAATTATTTCAAAGCCCTTGACGAATGTACTACAGGTGCTTTCAGGATTACTATTAATCATGCAACACCTTGTATATATTTTTAATCCTTCAGTAGTTATTCGATCTCTAATAGAATCAAGCTGACCTTTAACATGACCTACTATATCGGAACTGCCATTAGCGGATTGTAAGCGTTGCAAATGTATTAAAGTCAAAATCAACAAAGTAGCCTTTTTATTATAAAAAAGTAAAAAACAAAACACCAACAAAAAAGTGGACTCCAAACACAACATGCAAGAAAAAAGAAAAAAAGGCGCATAACATTGTTATACATTTTATACAAAACCATAAACGCTGGGTAAGCAGAGGGCCAAAGATCGTAAATAAGCTTGCATGGTTTTGGGCCTCTAGATATTAAGTCTTGACATTCTATGTTGTAAGTATTAGGATTCAGTTGTTGCAAAAGTAGTATAAGGTTTTGTTTGAACGTCAATTTAGGTTTACGTTTACGTGCCTTTTCGCGGTTCTTCCTTTGTAGTCTATTCATTTCTTCTTGAGCTCTCAGGTCCTGAGCTCGAAATTCAGCTTTTTGTTTAGCTATTGCCTCAGCACGTTCATCTGCCCTTTGCTTAGCTTGTTCCTTAGCTCGAGCTTTTTCTTCTTTGATAGCAAGTGCCGTAGCTCGATCCTTATCTTTTTCCGCACCTTTTTCCTTAGCCTTTTCCTTGGCTCGTTGTTTAACACTTTCCGCTCGTTGCTTAGCTCGCTCCTTAGCTTGTTTTTTATCCTCCTTATCTTGTTTCTTATTCTCCTTAGCTTGCTTCCTATCCTCCTTAGCTTGCATCTTAGCCTCCGCAGCTTGCTTCTTAGCTCCCGCAAGTTGTTTCTTACTATCGGTAGCTTGCTTCTTACCCTCCGATTTACTTCTAGAAGAACCGGTTATTGGACTTGGTGCTGATCGAGAAGATCGAGAAGATGGAGAAGATTCAGGGATTTGATCTGGCCTTTTATAAATTACGATTTTTTTTGGTATTATTACAGACGTTTTGCGATATTTACATATTTGTTTTTTTGGAAAGCCACGGAGTTCCCTCATAAAACAAAATTTCTCTCTTCTCGGATTGACTCCTCGGGTACTTGTCAACGGTTTTTTATGGCGTAGAAACCTAATGAGTGGGCCTGTTGGCTTTAACATAACTTCTCTTGATTTTGTGTAAATACGTCTTGTATTGCTACCAGTGCTACGTTTTCCTATGCTTTTGCTCCTAACAAAGAATCTGACTCTACTGGGTTGTTTCTTCTTCTTTTTTCGTTTAGTTTTCCTAGATTTCCCAGTTTTCCCGAGTTTTCCAGTTTTTCCAGGTTGACCAGGTTTCCCAGGTTGACCGGGTTTCCCAGGTTTCTCATCCTTTTTACTAGTTGTATCTGTATCTTTTTTTATACTTGTATCCGATTTCGAAACTTTTTCTTCCTTAAATTTTTGCGGAACAGTGCCGCGAGTCATAAAAGACTTTTTACTTTTAATGTATTTAAAAATTCGTGTAGGACCGACGCTACATGTGTTCGTAGCCATTGTAGCGGTAAGAGATCGAAAAAGTGGTTTTTGTGGAAAAGTCGTAGATTTGCTTGATTTTCGAGGTATTTTTACTTCATCCTGTAGACGGGCACCAATAGATATTGACCGAGTACAACGTATCGGACTGGGAAAAAATTTATAAATGTGGACGGGTTTGTTCGCTAACATTTCCTGTGAACGTCTTCTAGCAAAAGATTTACGGTCTTGTAACACTAGCCCTGGCGGCTTACAAACAGTTTTACCTTTTTCAGGGGGAAGTTTTTTCTTTGCCTTTTGTTTCTTTAGTGGTTTCAAAGGTAATTTTATTTCAGTTGTAATACTGCCAACAGAATGCGAGCGGGGTTTTGGAAAAAACTTTATAATTTTAGTTGCTGCTGTGAAGCATGCAGAGCTAGATTTAGATTTGACTTTGCCTGTTGATGGGGGTCTTGGATTACTTGTATTGACACCTGAAGTCATTGAACGCTCGTGAGGCGGAGGAACATATTTTACTACAGTATTGGATTTCGAAGATTCAGTACTTGGGCTCTGTGTAGGCATCTCGACATCAGTATTGCTAGACATATGTCGACCTATCGGGGTAGGTGCTGGCATATACTTTTTCACATAAAAAGGTTTATCATATTTCTTAGCGTTCTTCTTCTCTTCTTTTTCACTTTCTTTCTTTCCAGGATTATCCTTTTCTTTGCTAGGATTGTTAACTTTCTTTGCTACTTTCTCATTTTTCTTTCCAGGATTCCCTTTTTCTTGGCCAGGATTGTTAACTTTCTTTGCTTCTTTTTCATTTTTCTTTCCAGGATTCCCTTTTTCTTTGCCAGGATTATTAGCTTTCTTTTCTTCTTTCACATTCTTCTTACCGGGATTACCTTTCTCTTTGTCAGTATTTTNNNTTCTTTTCTTCTTTCTTAACAGACTTCTCTTTTTCTTTGTCAGATTTTTTATCTTTTTTCTCTACTTTCTCACTTTTCTTACCAGAATTCCCTTTTTCTTTGTCAGGATTTTTACCTTTCTTTTCTTCTTTCTTAACAGACTTTTCCTGTACTTTAGTTTCTTTGGTTTTTTTAGCCTTCTTCTCTTCTTTCTCCAGTTTTTTAACGGACTTCTGTTTTTCTTTCTCAGTTTTTTTCGCACTCTTTTCTTTCTCTTTCTCGGGTTTATTAATTTTCTTTTTTTCTTCTTTTTCAAGTTTTTTAACACTCTTGTCTTCTTCTTTGTCACGTTTCTTAACAGTCTTTTTTTCTTCCTTTTCGCGTTTTTTAACGCTCTTAATTTCTTCTTTGTCTTGTTTTTTGTTGTCTTTCTTTTCTTCTTTTTCACGTTTCTTAATGTTCTTGTCTTCTTGTTTGTTAGGTTTCTTGACGTCTTTTTTTTGTTCTTTTTCTTGTTTCGTCACGACCTTCTTTTCCTCTTTTTCACGTTTCTTAACACTCTTGTCTGATTCTTTGTCAGGTTTTTTGATGTCTTTCTTTTCTTCTTTTTCACGTTTCTTAACGCTCTTATCTGATTCTTTGTCAGATTTTTTGACGTCTTTCTTTGCCTCTTTTTCACGTTTCTTAACGCTCTTGTCTGATTCTTTGTCAGATTTTTTGACGTCTTTCTTTGCCTCTTTTTCACGTTTCTTAACGCTTATGTCTGGTTCTTTGTCGCGTTTCTTGGTATCCTTCTTGTCTTCTTTCTCACGTTTTTTAATGCTCTTTTCTTCTTCCTTTCCACTTTTCTTGCCTTCCTTTTCTTTTTCAATTTTTTTAGCCTTCTTCTCTTTTTGTACCACATTGTCTTCTTGTTTTTTTTCTTTTGATTTAGGAACCGAACAAATTTTGGATTTTATGGTATTACATGATACCGTACGTGAAGGCGGTCGGACAGGTGGGAACAACTTGTGCACTGAAATAATTTTAAACGATTTTTTGCCGCAGATAGTACGATCACAGCATGACGAATAAGGGGCCAACGTAGATTTAGAAGTACTACATACACGTAGCTTGATGCCACTACCTACAGTATTTGTCTTACAATGAGGTGCTGGAAAAAATTTCATCACTTTTGTCCGATTTTTTTCGCATTTATCTCCTTTAGCAGCCTGATTGTTTGTAGCTTGAGTATGAACACATCCACCTGGACAAGGCGGGTGGACACATTTTATAACAGACGTCGTGGATACAGCCATATGTTTAGTAGGTGTGGTGGTTGAACACCAACGATTGGATAATTTTCTCCTTTTCGTGCTCTTACCGGATTTAGTGTCGATGTTATTACAACTTTTATTCTTAGGCAATTTAGAAATACATGCAAATTCATTAGTATTTGAACATGCTCCACATATAGCCGTCTGGAGCACTTTAGTTAAAGATTTTGGTCCGCAAATCTGAACCTTCCCATCCCGACTTTTTTTTCCTCGAGTGCTTTTAATTAAAATTTCTTGGCATTTTTTATTCAATTTTTGTTTTTGCTTCGTATCGCTTTCTATCTGTTTGTCTTTCCCTTGTTTATCTTGTTTCTTATCTGAACTGTTGTCTATCGATTTTTTAGTACTACTTTTTTTCTTCCAACACCCACTGCAAGTGGTATATTTATTTTTGCTTGCATTTGAAGAGGTTTCTATACCTCTACTTTTACTAGACTGTTTAAATGTAACACTTTTATGGCTTTTCTTTCCAACATAAGACGACGGAGCTCCTTCGCATGGTAACACCGCTAAATTCGTGGAACTGTCGGGAAGACGCAATTTAGTCGTTGTTGTTGTCGTGTATTGTGTACACTTCGAGGACTTTTTCTGACTATCTGTACCTTTCATTTTCTTCTTATTAGTTATACAAGAAGTAGCTTTATTTTTCTTGAACATTGCATAACATTTCTTTTTATTCTTACAGTAAGCGCATTTCATTTCTTTTATATTTTTACTCGGTTTTTTAGTTTCTTTCTTTTTAATTTTGCTCTTTGCATCATGATGGGGTCGAAAGGGATAAGTAATTAACCATACAAGGCCTAAAATTAAAAGGCAAGGTAACCATATAATTACAATCGTAATAAAAAGAAAATATTTAATTGCGGCACAAAATAAACCAAATATGCCAGCATGTTTAGATTGTTTGCAGGTATCACATACATTTGGTTCAACTTTGATCCATTTCTTACATATCCTTGTTGGTTCGCAAACATTTACAGCAGTCGGTCCTCCCGAAAAAGATTTCGTCTTCGTATGGTCAGCAGTAGCAATGTTTTTCTCTTTACTTTTAGTTTTTAATGTCTGCACATTGACGTTATCAAAACCATCGCTCTTTTTCAAAATAGACTTTCGTGTATCTAGTTCCAAACAACTGCAAGGGATTTCATACTTTTTTATACTTTCAGTTTTCTTGGCGTCTTTTGGCTTTAATAGGTATATGTTAGACACGGTGGTGCGCTCAGTCACTTTAAGTAAATTAGGGGCAGCAGGGTTGTCACTCTGAGATTGAACGAAAGATGACTTCTTCTTAGGTTTTTCTGAATTAACATCTTCAAGTGAGTAATGTTTACAGCATAAACATTTGTCACGTTTCGCATCACTTTGTAGGAACTTATAAAATACATTTAAATTGTAGTTCAATTGACGTTTTCGTTGAATACAACGTTGAAACCCAAATAAACTAATCTGGCTATTTTTAGTTCGTTCTTTTTTAATACCAGACTTTTTCTGTGAGATATTTTGTTCTTTCTCTTCTTCGTTAACGTCACGTTCGTACAATACTTTAACTTCGTTATTAACTCGATGTTCCACATTTATGTCACGGATTTCGTGTTCGTTGACCACAACAACGTTATGAGAATCAATAGCTGTTATTTCATTAATCTTATCTTTGCCCAAAAAACTAAATGATGACAAAATACTTTTTAAAGGCTTAAAATCAATAGACTTCTTTCCAGTGAATTCTTTCCGCCGTGCACGTTCTGAAAAACACGTATTTTTTTATTTTATCTATTTCCTACTCACAGAAGAGTTTCCCAATCCCTGGCAACATGAGAACACCTTTTCAAATTTTTGTTACCTTTCATCAAACCCAAACATTGATTTTCAAATTTCTGACAATACGAAGAAAAACTATCGTACATTTACTTAAATAAGACGTTTTCTTTAAATTAACTTCCTTAATTCTACTCTCATTAAAGCTAGTCTCTTAAAATCCTTTTTATGTGTCCATATCTGACTTATCGAAATACTAATTTATCAGTGATATCAAATTTAGAAAAATGTAAAAACTATTCTAGCTTTTTTAAGGCTAAAGCTACATTAAATTAAGCTTCAATGATTTTAACAGACTATTACTACAACTCAATTGCTAAAGAATACAAACTTATTACTAGGCAATCTTACTTGTGTATTGTTTTGATTCAAGACTTGATTTTTCGTCATTCTTTAAAGACACATAGGCCAAATCACTTGTTCTATCGTTTGTAGCTTCTTCAGTCTCTCTGCTAAGGTTTTGTTTCTTTTTCTCTCGATGCTTTGATTTATTATGATTAAAACGGATGCCGGCAAAACTTCCTCGTTCATTTTCAACTTTGTACTTGACGTTACAATAACCGCGTAACTTTCCAGTATCCCCGTCCATTGATCGTCGGGGTTAAATAATATGTTCTTAACAGTTTTACTTTTAATGCCAAAGATGTCATCGGAATGTAACAAATTCATAAAATTATCACATTAAGGTCACAATTTGTATAATTTATTAATTTGCAAAAGTAAATACGTCAGTGTTTAATCTAATAACTTGAAGGAGTCCGTCATGGCAATATTAGTATAGTCAAATAAGGATATCACGCCCGGTAAGAGGGGCTGCTATCACGGTTAGTTCTGTTACAAAATATTTAAAACTTCATGGTTATATAAAATTTGCATAAAAGAAAAAAAAGTACATGCAACTGCAATACGAAAATGTACTTTTGATATTTTTTTGGAATAAGTAGGTTGGCGCTAGTGGGCTGCCATAATCTAGTTTGACTTATGCCTACCCGGTCAGATATCCTTGTCGGTCTATATTTTGTCTTCAATACAAATTGATTGATTTTTTTGTATGAGAGCGATAATTCTTTTTACATTGAATTCCATAAATGGACTGGCTATAAACTGCGTTATGTCCAATTTGATTATTTCCGATTAGAAGAGTATTTGAATTCGAAATCATCGAAAAAGATGGAAATGTCCAGCAACAACCTATCCATTACATCACCTTCGCAAAATCTGGAATTTTTCTTTCGATATTACGTACAGAACCCAATTTTACTATCAATCGATATAGAATAGTTAGTTATAAGGTTGCAAATGAGCAAGCGAAAATGTAAATTAAAATTACAACTAATGTTATTTATTCTAGTAAGTAAAACTTTATATTAACAAAACATTCTTTTAATAATAAAAAAATAAAACATAAAACACCAACAAAATAGTGGACTCCATATACAGCATGCAAGTACAAAGAATATAAGGTGACAAACACTGTTATACATTTTATACAAAACCATAAATGCTGGATAGGCAGAGGGCCAAATGTCATGAATTATTTTACACGGTCTATTCGGTGAAGCCATCATATCTTCACATTTTACCTCATAACCTGATGAAGCCAGTTTCTTAAAAGCTTTACCAGCGTTTTTTTTTAAGTTCTTTTTTCCTTTCTTTTTTCGTGGTTTACTTTTTTTTCCTCGACCTTTCAATGCCTTAGCTCGATTTTTAGCTTTTTGCTTAGCACGTTCTTTGGCTTTTTGTTTAGCCTGCGCCTTAGCTCGCTCTTTCTTTAACTTCTGCTCTTTTTCTTTTTGGCTAAGCGATTTGGCTGTTGAACTTCGTTGTTTAGCTTTTTGTTTAGCTAATGCCTCAGCCCGTTGTTTTTCTTTTTGTTTAGCAGCTGCCTTAGCTTGTTCTTTACTTTTTCCTTTAGCTTTTTCTTTGGCTAGTTGCTTTTTCCGTTCCGCTAGTTGCTTTTTCCGTTCCGCTAGTTGCTTAGCCTGTAATGCACTTTTGGACGAGCCAGGTGTTGGACTACCAGACGAACTTCGAGGTGAACTTCGAGAAGACTGAGATGTTTTAGGGCTTTTAGCACCTTTCTTACATATCAGGATTTTACGCTGGTCATCAGCTGCTTTACGTAATTTCCTTTTTTGTTGAAACTTACGGTATCCAGTAACGAAGCAACATTCTGGTTTTCTCGTGTTAACTCCACGGGTACATGTCACAACTTGTGACCTTGGCTGAAACCTAATGACAGGATAGGTGGTTTGTAACATTACTTTTCTAGATCTTGTCTGAACGGGTTTCGTACTAAATCCAGTACTACGTTTTTTTAGGTGCTCCCGTTCGTGACTTTGTTTCTCGCATGGTGTTAAATTTTGTGTTGCACAGGGTTTCGTTCCTGGTGTTGTGCCGGGTTTAGTTCCTGGTGTTGTGCCGGGTTTCGTTCCTGGTTTTGTGCAGGGTTTCGGCCCTGGCGTTGATGAGATTTTTGCTCCTGATGTTAAACAGGGTTTCTTTCCCGGAGGTGTGGCGGGTTTCGTTCCTGGTACAGTACATGGTTTCGCAGGTTTTTTTGACTTTTCTGTGTCTTTTGAACTCTGTTTTAAACATATATCTCCCTTAAATTTTCGGGGCACTGTGCCGCGATGCATTATAGACTTATGAGTTTTTATGTATTTAATAATTTGAGTTGGGGCGGCACTACATGTACTTGTACCCGTTGTAACGGAAAGAGACCGAAAAAATGTCTTTTGTGGAAAAGACGTCGATTTGCTAGACTTCCTAGGTAATTTGATTTCCTCTTTAATACATGCTCCAACTCCTAGTGTCCGAGTGTTGTATCGAGGGGCAGGGAAAAATTTACAAACTCGAGCGGGTTTCCTTGGTATCATATCCTGGGAATGTCTTCTATCATAAGACTTTCGGTCTTCTATCATAAGGCCTGCGTTACAATCTTCTTTTGGTGGAGGTGGAGGTTTCTTTTTTTTCGGCTGTTTTGGCTGTTTTTCTAATGGCTCTATGGGTAATATGATTTCACAAGTACTGCAAGCTATAGTGCTTGAGCAGGGTTTGGGGAAAAAATTTACTACTTTACTAGACGACGACAAGCAAGCAGAGCTAGATTTAGATTTCACTTTTTTGCATGATGGCAACTTTAGTTTTCTTGTGTTAACAGACGAATGAACTAGGCGCTGATGTGGTACAGGAAAAAATTTCACGACAGTAGTAGACTTCCGAGGTTTTTTAGGTTTAGGTAATCGAGTGTTACTAGAGACGTGACGATTTTTCGGACAAGGCGCTTTAATAAATTTCTTAACAGAAATACGTTTCTCGGTTTTTTTAGCGCACTTTTTTTTAAGAGATTTAAAAAAACTAGAAGTTTGTAACATCATGGTATTACTTGATATTGTACGTACTTCTGGACGAACGGGAGCATACATCTTGCTCACTGATACAACCCTTAATGGTTGTCTATCACAAGTCATGCGATTGCAACGTCGTAAACGAGGAAGAGACTTGTCCTTTGAAGTACGTTGCGGTATACAAATATTACTACCAACAGACATAGTCCTTCGAGGTGGCGGTGGTAGGAATTTCATAACAGTTTTAGGTTTGCTACTCTTTCTTTTCTTCCTCTTTTGTTTAGTTTTCTTGCGTTTTTTACCGTCGCCTCCTCCAGCGGCCTGTCTACGAGCAGCTCTAGCAGCACAGCCACCTGGACATGGTGACGGAAGACATCTTGTAGCTGATGATCTAGTTACTTCTAGATTTCTTTTTAAATTATGCATAACGTATTTAGACTGACGACTTAAGCATTTTCTTCTTTTTTTCAGTGCAATGCAAGCCGCCGCTGTGCTATTGCAGCTTTTAATTTTAGGTATTTTACGTACATTTGCCATTTGATTTGTAGTCGAGCATGTTCCACGGAGAGCTGATTGGAGTAATTTTGATAAAGATTTAGGTACACAAACCTCAATTTTTCTCCGATTTAATTTCCCTTTACAACTTTTGATTACAATTGCTTGACATTGATTATTCAGATCTGTATTTTGATCCGATTCTTGTTGGTCTTCGTTCGTGTCCCCACAGATGTCAACCGATTGTTCATTTTTGTCTCGACATCCACTACAGACTTTATTTTTGCTTATTTTTACATAGGTTTCACTTGACCTTCCTTGACATGGTTGTTTAAAGCTTACACTTTTTTGTCTTTTTTTTATACATGCACCGATTTCTTCATTAGGAAACATAGCTACAGTTGTGGTACCTTCAGGAACATAAAATCCAGTAGGTGTAACCGTATATTGTGTACAGTCCGAGCACGTTTTTGCACATTTTTTACCTATGCCTTTCTTTTTTTTAGAATCTGAAGGCGCAGGTTTCTTTTTCTTAAATAATGGTTTATGTTTTTCCTTGTTCTCGGATTTGTTAGGCTTTTTTTCTTTTTTAATACGCTGACGGGGTTTATCTTTCTTCTTTTTCTTCTCTTTACATCTTCTTCTTCTTCTCTTTGTTTTCGCGCCTTTTGAACTACCTGATGCTTTATGAGGTCGGCAAGGATAAGTAATTAACCATCCAAGACCTAAAACTAAAATGCAAGGAAACCATATGATTAAAGTCATGATAAAAAGAAGATATTTCATTGCAGCTTTCAAAAAATCGAACAGCTCAACCGATTTTTTGGAGTTTTTTCGGCTAGTGCTAATTTTGGGTTCGACTTGTACATTTGTGTTGCTTATCTTAGCAGCTGGTTTACAAAGATTAACACCCTTATAAGGAGGCTTAAGATTCAAGTTATCTTTAGTATCTAATTTTTGTTCTTTATCCGTTTTAATTTCTTTATCGTTAGTTTTTAATTTTATTAAATCAGTGCTTTTATTTATTTTTAAATCAGTGTTTTTGGGATCTTCAGTCTTTTTTAAAATAGACTTTCTTTTATCAAGTTCCGAACAACGAAAGAGAGATTTATTTTTTCGTAAACTTTGCAATTTCTTATAATATTTCGGCTTCAGCAGATATACATTAGATATACTACTGTGCTGAGTGAAATTGACTAAATTGTAATGAGCAGGAGCCGCACTCTGAGATTTCACAAAAGACGATTTCTTCTTGGGTTTATCTAAATTTAAATCTTCGAAAGAATAGTGTTTACAGCGTAACACATTATGGTGTTTTGCGTCACCATGTAAAAGCTTATAAAACACGCTTAAATTATAGTTTATATGACGTTTTCGTTGGATACAACGTTGGAAACCAAATAAACTTGTCTGACTATTTTTAGTCTCTATATTTCTAGTGCTATATCTTCTTGGTGAGGTAATCTGTTTAGTTTTTTCTTTTCTGTTAAAGTCTCGCTTGTACAATACTTTAACTTCATTATCGCCTTGACTCCTCAAATTGTCATCACTTGATTCGATCTTATTTATAAAAGTGACGTTGCCAGGGCTAATAGAGATTCCCTTTATTTTACTTTTACCCACAAAACTGCATGATGATAATATCCTTTTTAAAGGTTTGAAATCGATAGATGTCTTTCTTAAGCCTCTTTTGCATCGCGTACATTCTGAAAAATAACACTTCTGTAATATACAGTTACAATCAGCGTCACCCAGAACTATGTTTTTGGGAGTTCGTCAAACCAGTTTCTTGTGGAAGGTATCCACGATGAGAAACAGCTTGGATATATCTGCTCTACATTTATCCATCGCATAGTTACTAGGCTTAAGGACAATCTCTAATTAAATACATATGCTTACTTGTGTATTCCTTTGAGATGCTGTTTGTTTTTCTGTTAATAACTGGAGATTCAGAAAGCCAATCAGTTGTACTAATGTAATCCGTAGTTTCGTCTACATTACAATAACTTCGTCTCTTCTCTCGATACTTAGATTTGCGATTGAAATGGATCGCCCTGAATGTTCTCCTTTCATTTTCAAGTGTATAGGTGACATTGCGTATACCGTGTACAGTGCCTGTATCCCCATCCATTCTTATAGAAAATTAAATAAAATTGCATTTTCTTTCATTTTAATTATAATACTAATATAATCTAAATAAATATCGACGTAAATAAAATCATAAAATATAGTTAGTATAGCCGACAACAAAAGTAAAAACAATATGACAGTTTCTACTCCGGTACACTTTAGTAAAAAATGTTTATAGTGTGTCTAAATAATTTAGTTTAGTTTGACAATTCATTTCAAATTTAGTAGGGATGGGTTGTGTAAAATCAGTCATGAATCTTATCGATTTTCGATTTTTATTCTTATAGA